AGGGGGGTGAGGGGGGGGTAAGTGAAATTGAGAAAAATTGTTGACAGTTGTCAGGGAGCTTTTTGTCTGAATGTACCAAAGAGTATCGGCTCAATTTACATATATACAGATTTATTTGGAAGAGACCTTCCAATGAAATATACTTGATATCAGTTACAGGACAAATACTTTGTGCTAGGGAGCCAGCTGCATTTCTGCTTTCCTTACATCGTTCCTTACAGGCTGCATCTGGCTATGTGAGGAGTACAGAAATGGCGCGCAAATGTATGAAGAGCTGTAGAAGAAAATTACTTATTGCCTGAGAGCTTAGAAAATAAAAAGGGACAGACAGTCTTCTTAGAAATAGTGTTTGTAGCTCACAAGTTAAAGTACAATATTTATAATAGTCCAGCTTCTTTTAGCAGATTCTGAAATTCAACTGTTCTTTAAATTGCCACATAATCTTCACTTCTTACTATACCTAAAAAGCCTTGAAGTCATGCATATATGCACGTAATTCATGTGCTTAGGGAAAACTGAAGCTAGCATGGTTTTACTGATATCGCAAATATGTCTTCAGCTATTCAAAACTGCCACTCATTAGGGGTGGAGGGGTTTTTTTGTTGTTTTGGCATGGTTTTGGGGGTTTTTTGGTGGGGGTGGGGGATTTTGTCTTGTGTTTTTTTGGGGTTTTTTTGAGATGTACCTACAAAGAGCATATATTCTGTTCACGGATGGGGACAGAAAAGTTAATTGTCCTAGTGAAAAGTTGAGGGTGTTAGAGTAAAGCCTGGTATTCCTGTCTCATCTGTTTTGCTTTGGCATCTGGCTGCCTAGGCTATCCTGCCAGAGTGAACTGTGAAATGTGTGGATGTTGCAAATTTTACAGCTAGTCACATATTTCAGGAGTTTGTGAGTGTTAAATTCAGGAAAATCCTTACAAAATAATATATGATGTCTAGAGGGAGAGTATGGGTATGTTTTGTTTTAATGAGATGTACGTTATACCTATCCTAGCCTCTCAATCACTTTATGAGCATTATGGACCTCAGGCATTTGAGCTGAGTGCTGATCCCAAGCTGTTCCTGGATGTGGGAGGTAATTCTGCTGATCGCTTTAGTTTTCTGCTAGTTTCCTCCTGACTTGTTTTTTATAGAATCACAGAATAGCTGGGGTTGGAAGGGAGACCATCCAGTCCAACCCCTGGCTCAAGCAGGGTCACCCAGAGCCAGTTGACCAGGACTCTATCTGTCTAGTCGGGTTTTGAATGTCTCCACAGATGGAGACTCCACAACCTCCCTGGGCAACCAGTGCCAGTGTTTGACCACCCTCACAGGAAAAAAAAAAAACAACATTTTTTTTCTTGTGTTCAGATGAAATTTCATGTGTTTCAATTTGTTCCCATTACCTCTTGCTGAGATGAGTCTGGCTTCATTCCCTCGCACCAGGTGTTCATACACACACTGATGAGACCCCCCAGCCTCAAACAAGACAAAACTCAGAGCTGTAGAACAAGAATATCCTGTTTAAAAAGAAAGACATGACACTGTGAAGGCTGTGACTTTCAGGTGTGGTAAAAATGCATGGTGTGGAGGTTATTTAGCAAACTTAACACTGCTGGTGAAAAGTCATTCTGTAATTATAAATGACTGGAGCAATAGTTGGGAAATAATGCAGCAGAATATGTTCAGTTACCCGGTACATAAGTGCTAGATCCTGGCATGCTTACAAGAGCTGTGTTCCTTATTAAATTTTACAGAGTTAGTAAGTGTGATCCCTAAGGCAAGTGGGTCAGGCTTTTGTACACCAGAGGACAGAAGTGCTCCAGGGAATTCCCTGGCAGCAGTTCTCTCCTAATACATGTGAGGCCGATGTGGATGCACAGGCACCAAAATTGGTATCTTCATTGGCACGCCCCAGTGTCTCGTGCTCCAGGAAGCTGGGGTTGTAGTTGAGAATTAAAAAAGCGCGTGGATCTAGTGTAAAACATGGTTGGTTTTGTGTGATGTCTACTATTTGAGGATTTGAAATGCATTTTCTTATGAATGTACATCCTGTTGAACAATTGTCTGTGACACAGGAATCTAAACGTTACATTTCACTACACTGGGATGTGTTGAGGTTCTCCTGAAACTGTGAAATTTGTGGTGGCTCTTTTGCCTTTAGATTAATTATTAATTATTTGAGTTGAACTTATAGTAACTGTGATGTGGTCAAGCATATTTTGCCTTATAATTTAACCACTTCTAGTAGTTTAGTAATATGGCAAATAAAGGAGTGGAACTTACCTTGAAATAATGGACACTGCTGTCTGGGTTAAAGTCTGAATAGTTTAGTTCATAGAGAAATTTTTTTTTTTTTAATAACAGCTTAAGCCCAATACAAATTAAGTTCTTAATGAAAAAAAAAATTACTTTAATATTATTACATAGACTTTGGAAAAATAATATGTCACTGTTACAGTTTGCTTAATTTACGAATGAGACAATTGGGAAAATACTCTCTGCAGAGAAAATTATGTCTCTATAATATTTAGAATACCTTGTAAATTTTCACTTTATCTGATATTTAGCAGTTCTTTCATTCCCTTTTTCACTTAAAATAATTTAATATTTGTTGAATGTTGTACAGTTTTAAAATGTTCTGTAGGTACGACTAATTTTCCTGCCTCACCAAGTACTTTCAGTGCATATCGTGTGTATGGCCTTTGCAAAATCACAGGTTCACATAAACAAGGTTCTGGCTGTACTTTATGAAAAGATTATTTCGTTCCTCAGTAGGGCATTTGTCAAATGCCTTTATTGCATGCATTCTTTGTTATAGTGTTTTTTTCCCCAAAGAGGCTGGACTTCACAATTTCAGAACAAGAGAAAAGAAGTTACATGATAACTGTTTTTAGCCATGTGTTTGAATATTTTTTTTCCCTTGGAATTTTTTAGACATAGTGTGTGACTAATAAGATGGATCTTTTGATGATATGGAGAAGGTATCTTGCTGTTCTTAAGTTCTTCCAGATATTGCACCCCAAAGGGCTGATGAGTTTCCAGTAGACCTTTTAGTGAGTTGAGTGCCAGCTTACTATATGTTTTTTAATTACTGTTCTGATTTTGATGAAATTAAATGTCATGCCAGTGGTGTTTTGGGCTTAGTGGCCTTACGAAACTGTAACCTACCTTTTAAACTCTTTTTTCCTCATTTTGCAAAGGTCATTATGTTTAAAAGGATGTTCTTCCAAGTTTTACTCATGCTTTCAGGTACAATTGTATCACCATCAATCGTTTCATAGAAATTTCTCTTGTTTTCTGGTATATCAGGTTTAGTTTGTAGTATGTTGGCAGTGACTTGCTGTTGAATAGAGCCATGGATTTGGAGTTTTAGTCTTGCTTTACAAAATAAATAGATGTTTATGAAATCTTTCCTTCCAAGATTGGTGAGATTTTTTAAAAAAAGTTATTGTGAAACTCAATTTCATCCTGTAAATCCAGAAAAGGCATAATACTTGAGTTCTGCTGAGTTAGAGTATAATTAAATCTGTTCAAAGTCCTTTTGTGAATAACCTTCTTAATTAATCACCCTGTTGTTTACTGACAAGTGCATTGAAGAGGTAGGAGGTTATTTGCAGGCTAGACCAGGATTACTTTTATGTTTGTGCATTTTTCATTCATGATATGTGTGGCTGGAAGTTGTCTATCTTTCCAAACCATATGGGCTAAGTCTTGATTTTCACTTTTGTTGTCAGGCCTTCCATGAATTCAACTGTGAATGTAGGTTGTTTGCTTAAAATCAGATGGGCCGCACCTTGCTTATTTGGTTGTGGATAAACAAATGCTGATAGAAGCAAGATTTTATTTCTTGGTAAGATAGTTTGGATGATAGCTCATCCTTCCTTTTTAAGACAATGGTTCCTTTTTGTCTTCTGGCTCTATGTTGAGATTTAAAGGAGTAAGATATAATTAAGCTGCCTTTCTTCACTTGTGAGCTACTGGGGTTCTCACCTTCTCCATCAGCTTAAAGATTTTGTTTCTACAGGGTCACAAGAGAGCAGAGAATCAGTGCACGCAGAATGTTATATTTAGGACTAATGGCAACTTCATACGTTTTTTCTGGCTTTTGGTGCTTCAAGGTTAGACTGCTGCATGGTAATGTGTTTAGGTCACTGCCTAAATACACACAGGTGAAGCTAGTGTGGGATACCAAGGCTATGCAGAATAAGTGGTATATTTTTAGATGAAGCATGTGATCGTGGTGTTTCAGGGGTCTGCATGAGCTACTTCCCTGTCTCTGGTAGGAGAGGTAAAGCAAATCCCAGATTTGTTAATGTCAGGTGGCTTGGAATCTGCCAATACGAAGAGTCACCAGTTTCTTTCACCATCTCATGAAATTGTACAGGATCAATTTAGAATTCTCTTTTTGTAAAAAGAAAATTGTTGCAGGCAGGATATATTCCCTAGGAAACACTGTCGCCTTGTTTGTTCTGCCTGCAGCTTGCTTTGAATTTGTTCTGCTTCAGAGGATATGACAAATTCCCCCTTTTCTCAGTTTGATAAAACTGCCACCTAAACATACAGAATTTGATCGAGCAGGATCAAGATATGTTACTAATAAGCAAATTTGATTTATAGTATCGTGCCAACAGCGTTACTTCATAGATTCTGAACTTACATGTGATAAGGATATAGAGTTGTCTGTTGGCTTTAATATCCCAGGAGGATGGTCATTGATGTTGAGTTTTTTAGTTAGTGTAATCCTAGACCATCAGTGATTCTTTCAGGGCATTGCTTTTTTACTTCTCCATCCTCCTCGCCCCCCTGCCTCATGCTGACATTACTGCAGTTTTAAGTTGGGTACAGAACAACTCCAAATAAAGAGTAGTAGTACAAAGTGATAGTAGGGAGAAGCAATTTGAATTGAACAAGTGGTACTTCAGTTTAGATGTAGTCCTTTGGGTTACTCGTTCAGAAAGCTGATCCCAGACCTCATGCAGCAGCAATCAAAATACAAACTTGCAATTCTGTAATTGTAATTCTAATTTATTAAATTAATTGGAAGACTAGAAACTTTTAAAGTTTTTATTCTTCTTCCTGTCCAGTCTCTCAAAGCTTGTTTTGGTTCTCCGGAAGAAAGCAAACATGCCAGAGTTGCACAAGAATGTTTATAAACTACATGCTACTAATATTTAAGCAAAAATTGA